AGTGAAGCCCTGAGGCTCTTGGACCTTTACAAGTGGAGCAGAGGAGGAGAACCCAGCAGAGACTGAGAAGCAGCCAGAGAGAGGGGAAGAAACCCAGGGAGGGTGGTGTCCTGGAGTCTCGGGGGGGACACGGTTTTAAGAAGGAGGATGTGGCTCTCTGTGTTGAATGCAGATGACCAGTCACATGAGATGAGAACAGACAAATGACCGCTGGGTTTGGTAACATTAAAAGTCAACTGGTGACCTTGTCAAGGGCGGTGTCAGTGGTGTGGTTAGGATGGAAGCCAGCATGGATTAAGGTTAAGAGAAAATGGGAACTAGGAATCGGAGACAGTGACAACCCTTTCCAGAAGTTTCTCTGTGACAGGAGCAGAGAAATGGGCCAGGAGGTAGAGGAGGATGTGAATCAAGGAAAAGTTTGGTCTTTTTAGTGGTAAACAATACTGCGTGAGTCTTAGCTAATACTTATTCAGTGTTTAATCTCATCTAATCCTTGAAACAGTCCTGAAAGGAAGATAATCCAATCATCTCCATTTTACAGATAGAGGTGATGTAACTTGTCCGGGTCATGATGATACTAAGAGGTGGAGCCAGGATTTGAACCCAGCTAGTGTGTGCTTGTGTTCCAGACACTGTGTGAGAGGCAACTGCTGGTGCATGGGTGGGGGAACCTGCAGGGCAACATCAAGAATGTGGGAGGGGGTGGGTTCCAGAAGAAAGAGAGGGACACATCATCCCATCACCATAAGAGGCTCAATGGCAAACATGAGAACAGGTTGGTTTGTGGTGTCGGTGGCAGGACGTGGGGGAGCCCTTACCTGATGACTTCTAGGTCCTCTGGAGAACGAGGGAGACAGCGGCAAGAGAAATGATGCTCAAGCAGGCATAGTGGGGGAAAGAAGGACAACTGCCATGCAGTAAGGAATGAGTTGTGATTGTGAAACTGAGTGACACCACGGTCCCAGACACACCATGCCCTTAGCCACAACCAGCTCAAACTGGTTCCCTAGCCAGGAATGCCCTCTCTCCTCCTCTCGCCCTACTCTTCCTGCCCCAGGCCGACCTTCCTCCCTTCCGCATGGACCATTTATTTCAGCGGTTACCCAGACATTCATTCATTCGTTGACTCAACACACACGCCCTGAGATCCCACCGTTTGTAAGGACCCGGCTAGGTGCCCACAGTGAATAATACCCAGACCTCTTTACAAGGAATTGCTGTCCAGGAGAAGAGACAAGCATATAAATTTGTAAATTACAATGTGATACAACAACAACAATAAAGAAAGTAGCCAGAGGCGCGTGGCGGCACAGAGGAGACCACTTTGCAATGGGGTAAGGGACTCCTTCCCCAGGAAGGTGTGGGCCTTGAAGTGTGAGTGTGAGATGGACGGGGGAGGGGGGGGGGGGGGGGGGGGGGGGCGGCGTGGGCAAAAGCCCCGAGTCTGCCAAGAGTATGACGAGGCTGGGGGACCGGGGCAGCGCGATGCGGCTGACGAGACAGAACTAGAAGAGCAACATGGGGTGAGGCCAGAGAAGAATACGGAGCCAGGTCACAAATGGAATCTGGAAGTTATCCTGAGGTCAAAACAAGAGAGGCAGGCTCGCATCTGCATTTTAGAAACGTCACTCTGTGGCTCTGTGTCGCGTAGCCAGTAAACTGGACCAGGCAAGACTGGAAACAGGGAGTCCAAAGAGGAAGCAGGCTGGGAAGAGTCCCAGGGAGAAGTGGCAGGGGCCAGACCAGGGAGGGAGACAGAGCCGTTTAGGTGGCAGAATTGCTAGAAACTGGTGATCAGTGAATGAAACTGGTAAAGGAGAGAGTGGCTTGGGTGCCTGGTAAGAGGTAGAACCAGGAACCCAATGTGGGATGCAGACAGTCAAGCACATTTGGGACAGGGGAGGACCAGGCTCAGTTTTCGGGGTTTTTTTGTTTTGTTTTTTTGTTTTTCAGGCTCAGTTTTGATCTAGGTGAGTGTGAGGTGCCAGGGGCTATTCTGATGGCAGGCAGGTAGCAGTGTCAGGAGGGGCAGGAAGGGGCAGGGCTGGAGGCTCAGGTTGGTGTCTGCAAAATAAAGGCCAAGGGAACCCCTAGGTGGGGATGAAAATGCCCAGCGAGCATTATGTTCTCCTTGAGAAAGCAGCAAGGACAGCGCACCGGGGCAGGCAGAGGGTGGGGCTGCTGGGGAAGGAAGCCGGCCGGGCTACTGAGATGAAGCCAGTGAAGCCCTGGAGAGTGGCCCATGGACCCAAACAAGAGAGAGCTGTTGCCACGGCCGCCACCTTCCCTCTATCTTCTCACCAGTGTGTGTTTGGTGCCCACTCAGGGCAGGCCCAGCTCCAGGGGCTGGGGTGCAGTAACAAGACCAATACCTCTGTCCCCTGGGGGAGTCAGACCCCAAACTGTCACAGAAGGAAATAAAATGATTTCCCTCCTTGGTGACTGCTGTGAGAGAAACGGGGTGAGTGGAGGAGAGATTATCGGAGACGAGCTATTTCAGGCTGGGAGGACTGGGGAGGTCTCTCAGAGGGATCAGTCTGACAGAAGGGGCCAGGCAGGGGAGGAATCCTGTGGGGAGGGAAGAGCAGTAAAAGCCCTGTGGAAACAATGAGCTTGGTGCGCCGCAGGAACAGAAAGTGGGCCGGAGTGGCTAGAGTCTTGTGACTTGGAGGAATGTGTGAGATTAGATGCGAGAGGTAAACAGGGGCAGCCCGTAGAGGACCTGGGAAGCCACTCGAGACCCTGCTCTGTCATTTGATTATTTTCTTTACAATTTGCAATTACCCTCATTCTAGACTTTTTTTTTTTGGTAACAGCTTTATTGAGATATAATTCACATTCTATATAATTCCCCTGTTTAAAGTGTACAATTAAGCTTTTAGTATATTCACAGAGTTGTGAGATTGTCACTACGGTAATTTTAGAGAGTTTTCATTACCTCAAAAAGAAACCCTGTACCCTTTACCCGCCACCCCATATTTCCGTGATCCCCCGAGCCCTAAGCAACCACTAATCTACTTTCTGTCTCTATATATTTGCTTACTTGGACATTTCATAGAAATCATATAATACGTGATCCTTTGTGACTGGCTTCTTTCACTTAGCATAATGTTTTCAAGCTTCCTCCATATTGTAGTATGTATTAGTATTCCATTTCTTTTTTTTTTTTTTCCCCCTTGGCCCCAGCGCGTGGCTTGTGGGATCTTAGTTCCCCAGCCAAGGATCGAACCCGCAACCCCTGAAGTGGAAGTGCAGAGTCTTAACCACTGGACCGCCAGGGAAGTCCCATTATTGCATTTCATTTTATGGCTGAATCATATCTCATTGTATGGACTTAACACAATTTTCCTTATCCATTCATCAATGGATGGACATTTGGGTACCATTTTATTATTTTTAATTTTTTTTCTTTTTTCCCCTCTTTTTAGCTTTTTTTCCCATATTTTCCTTTTCTCTTATTTTTAATTTTAATAATCTAAGTAATGTATGATTCAAGTAATGCATCGATACATTCTCCAAGTAGAAGAGCAAACAATACAGACACAAACTATAAAAGCCCCCATGCTTCTTCAATCCTCCTCTTCTCCCCAGAAGTGGCTGGTGACAACTTGCCCTGTTTGGTTCTGGTCATATACGTTGGGTTTCTTCACCGAACTTCCCATTACACTCCCAGCTCCCTAGGCCCTGGCGCCTCCTTTGCCCTGGGCCCTCTAGATATCTTCTGGGTAAGGTAGGCCCAAATGTTTATAAACTCAGTGGCTGGGAAGTGTGAGAAAGTTCTATAAAGGGATTTCCCCCTGTCTCTGAACATCCACATTCAGGTGTGGACGGGACGGTGAGTGGCTGGGAAGAGGCCAAAATCAACAGCTCCAACCCACTGCGCTATGACCACCAGAGCGGGCAATTTATGGTCACCCGGGCTGGGCTGTACTACCTGTACTGTCAGGTAAGCCCCACCTGGCTCCACGGGTAGAGCAGGAACTGAGGGAGAAGGGCTGGGCTTAAGGGGTGGGGGCAAGTTAAAGGTGGGGGAGGAGGAGCTTGGGGTCTGGGCTGGACAGGAGCCCAGGGCAAGCAGAGGCCTGGACTCCGCCCCCCGCCCCCCCGCCCCCAGGTGCACTTTGATGAGGGGAAGGCTGTCTACCTGAAGCTGGACCTGCTGGTGGATGACACGCTGGCCCTGCGCTGCCTGGAGGAGTTCTCGGCCACAGCGGCCAGTTCCCTCGGGCCCCAGCTCCGTCTCTGCCAGGTGTCCGGGCTGTTGCCCCTGCGGCCAGGGTCCTCCCTGCGGATCCGCACCCTCCCCTGGGCCCATCTCAAGGCTGCCCCCTTCCTCACCTACTTTGGACTCTTCCAAGTTCACTGAGGGGGCCCTGGTCTCCCGATGGTTTGCCAAGGCCGCTGGCTCCCCACGGCAGCTCTCTGAGCACCCCAGTCCCCTCTGCCCACCCTGAGCGGCTCCTCCCCCAGAACTGCCTCTCCCTCTGTAGGCTGCCAGGGCACACTCAAGAGACGGCCATGCCACAGAAATAGTCCCCTCGTCTCTGACAGCTCCCCGCACCTCCAGCTCTCCACCTCACTAGCTCCCAAACCCCCATTTATCTCCTGACTCCCCACCCTGGCCGCAGCCCCCCAGGACACTGTGTTTACTGTACTCTGGGTGATGATGGGTCCTGAGTACCCCTCTTCAGGCACTAAGAGGGGCTGGATGCCAGAGAGACTGGGACTAGGCCAGGAGTTCCCGAATGTGAGGAGTAAGAGACCAAGACATAATTCCTCCCCTGATAATTCCCTGTGGATTTTAAAAACAGATATTATTTTTATTATTATTGTGACAAAATGTTGATAAGTGGATATTAAAGAGAATAAGTCATGGTCGCTCTCTTTATTGGGCCTTAGGGGACATCCTCGGGGTAGCTGAGGGCCATGCGAAGGGGGTCTGGGAATTGGGGAGTGGGGGGCAGGACGCCCGGAATTCCAGGGCAATGTCCAGGCTTGGGAGTGGGGACCTACATGCCTCTAACGCCGAAGCATGAGCAGAGAGTCGAAAGGCAAACTGCCAGGAAAAAAAATCAATCCTCTGCCCAAGGTCCAGCAGAAGCGGCCTCATTTACCTATAGGAGGCGGGCTTCCTCCTGCGGGGAATCCCTGGGCTGGGAGGAACAGCAGCCCTTCCTCCTGGCAGCTTCGGAGACTTCAGCAGGTGCTGGCACAGCCCTGGCTGGGACGCGGGGTGGGAGCAGGCCCAGCATGGGGGCTCAGGGGCAGGAAGCGGGACGCCAGGGCCCGGGAACACGGACACCTGCGTCCTCGGGGCCAGGGAGGAATCCTACAGTGGCAGGGGCTTGGGCTGTCTCTTTCTCTCTTTGTCCAGAGCCTTATGTAAGAGCTTTTCTTGGGAAACAGGAAGTCCTGCCTGCCAAGTTCAGCACACAGGGAGTAGTGCAGGCCTTATTCCAACACACCCGGCCTGGCCTTAACCCCAGAACTCAGCCAGTTTCTTGCTTCCGCGACCCTGGTTCTCCTCCCCACTGACGCCCTCCCCTTCTTTCCCACCTTTGGTCTCTCTCAGCAAACTGCCCCAGAGATCTCGCCTGTGCCCGGGCCAGAGGGTCTTCCACTCTCACCCCTCGACCCTCAATGCTGCCCAGCTCGTCCCTCCATCCCGGCTTCTGGCACCATGCCCCATAGCCAGCCAACCTTCCCTCCCCCACTTCTGGGGCCGCCCTGGGGTTCCTGTGCTCTGGCCGCTCCTCCTGGGTGTCACTGGCAGCCCTGTCCTTCTTAGAGAGACTGACAACAAATTCTCCTGAGGCTGGAGGAGGGTGAGGGGTCTCAGGACAACACTGGCCCCGCAGCGGGGTGCCAGGAGCACCAACAGTGCCCCGAGCTTGCTTTCTGCCTCCCTCCTTTTTATTCTCAAGTTCCTTTTTATTTCTCCCTTGCGTAACGCCCTTCTTCCCTTCTGCACCACTGCCTGCACGCCGACCCTCCCCGTCACCTCCTTGCTACCCCACTCCTGAGGCTACAGCTGTTGGCAGGGTCCCCAGCTCATGCCGACCTCATCTCCTTCTTTACTAGCCCCCAAAGGGCCCCCGGGAGACATGGGGGGCCCAGTCCGAGAGCCGGCACTCTCAGTTGCCCTCTGGTTGAGTTGGGGGGCGGCTCTGGGGGCTGTGGCTTGTGCCATGGTTCTGCTGACCCAACAAACAGAGCTGCAGACCTTAAGGAGAGAGGTGAGCCGGCTGCAGAGGACCGGAGGGCCCTCCGAGAAGGGGGAAGGGTATCTGTGGCTGAGCCCCCGGGAGCAGGTGAGTGAGGGGAGAAGGGTGTCTGGGGGAGAAGGGTGTCTGGGAGAGAAGGATGGGTGGCAGGGTGGTCTCCAGGCCTCTTGGTTCCAGCCGCCTGGTCTGCAAAGTTTTCAGTGGGTGCAAGAGAGGGTCCCAGGTTTGGAGGTCAAGGGAGCAACCATTTCAGGAAAGGAAATTGTTAAAGATTAATGCTTCTCGTACCTAACAGATCCTGGAGGACAGCCAGCACCAAGACTCAGGTTGCTGGGGAAAGGTGCAGGAGATGTGAGGCATTCCCGGGGCGGGGGAGGCCTGGGGGAAAGGCTTTCTGGGACCCTTGCATCTCAGCCTAACCCTGACCCTCTTTCCATGAGCAGAGCTCTGATGGCGTGGAAGCCCTGGAGAATGGGGAGAGATCCCGGAGAAGGAGAGCAGTAAAACAGAAGAGTGAGGCCCCCGGGGTGCAGCAGGGGTGGGAGGTGATCAAGCAGCACCGGGATTTGGAGACTGAGACCCTGAGCCAGGGGTGAGGGTGGAGGGCTGACAACAGGGCAACGGGGGTAGGCGGGCGCTGCTGAGATTTCCTCCTTCTCTCCCCAGAGAAGCGCTCAGTCCTTCATCTTGTTCCCGTTAACATCACCTCCAAGGGTGAGCACTATTTTCAATAATGGCTTTTGAGGAGAGGCGAAATCTAGGAACTGTGGGGCTGGCACCTGGGCCCAAGAGAAGCTTAGAGCAGAAAGTGTCTGAGTGCGCACAGAAACCCTGACTGCCACACTCCTTGCCTCCAGAGGACTCGGATGTGACAGAGGTGATGTGGCAACCGGCTCTCTGGCGTGGGAGAGGCCTGGAGGCCCAAGGATATGTCATTCGAGTCTGGGATGCTGGAATCTATCTGCTGTACAGCCAGGTAACCCCAAACACCCCCTGAGCCTCCCCTGAGGGCCTGGAGGCCTGTTCTCCCAAAGCCTTACGCCCCAGCACGGAGGGTTCCCAACCCCTATGGATACCCAACTTAGAGAGCACTTCTTCATTCCTCAGCTCCCTTGTCAGGGCTCCTGAGGCCGCCCAGACCTGAGCCACACTATCCCGTTTTCTTCATCTCCTCCCTTCCCTGCCAGGTCTTGTTTCATGATGTGACTTTCACCATGGGTCAGGTGGTATCCCGGGAGGGCCAGGGAAGGCAGGAGACTCTATTCCGATGTATACGAAGCATGCCCTCCAACCCCGACTGGGCCTACAATAGCTGTTACAGCGCAGGTGAGAGCCTGAGAGGTGGGTGAGCAGTTGAGGGTGGATGCGAGGAGAGCAGGGGATCTCTGACCTGGGGGCACTGGTGGTGGGGGCTACAGCAGGGGGTTGGAAGAAGCGTGGGTGTAGAGGCAGAGCTGAGGAGTGAAGGACAGAACACCTTGGTCCTTACAGGAGGCAGAAACAAGGTTGAGCTGGAGAAGGGAGGGTGAAACATCAGAGGATCTTTATGGCCGTGCTTCACTGAGCATCTCTTTTCTCCCTTTTCTCAGGTGTCTTCCATTTACACCAGGGGGATACCCTGAGTGTCATAATCCCCCGGGCAAGGGCGAAACTTAGCCTCTCTCCACATGGAACCTTCCTGGGGCTTGTGAAACTGTGATTGTGTTGTAAAAGGTGGTTCTGAGCTTGGAAGACCAGGGTGGGTTCATTTTGGAGACAGCCAAGAGCTGACTAGACAAAAGACAGGGAACAGTCAGGAACAGAGGCCTCTTCTGGGTTTGACTGGAATCCCAGGTTTGACAGCTCATGACTCTCCCTTTCTGCCTTCTCCCCCCCACCCCCACCCCCAGGACTTTGAATTCATGGATATTAAAGAGGTAGTAGAATATCCTGTTCTTAGTCTCCATCCAGCCCCAAATTCTTGAGGGAGTTGGGCGGGGGTGGGAAATGCCCGGCATTGTCTAGACTTGCTCTGGATCCCACTGGAATGCTTCCAGAACAGCACCACCATCTAGCGGTAATCTGAGACAATGATCCTGCCTGTTGGCAGATGGCCACGACTCCTTCCGCCACTCAGGAAAACTCCTGGTTCTTTACCCCACACCTCTCTCTAGGTATCCTCTGCCTCTCCACTCCACAAGAAGCCTCATCTTCACTCTCCTCTCTCCATCTATTGGGGCCCAGTTTCCATCACTGACTCCAGAGGTGTAATTATTATGCGCCCGTCTGCAGAAGGTGCCCAACGACGACGGTGCCCTTGCATCCACATCATTACTCTTCGGGTGCCAACTTTTGCCTTTCACGCTCTCCACTGCCCTGGCGCCGGCAGGCCACTCTAAGCCTCTCTGGACTGGGAGGGGAGCCGGGGAGCCTCGGATAAATCGTACGCCCTAGTCCTGATCCTGTATCACTCCTCTGATCTCTCCTTTCTGCGCAAGCCCTGCCTAAAGTTAAAAAATAAAAGAGAATAAATGGAACCTCGGATCCATTTCCCATGCTGCTGTGCCTCAGCTCCGTCCCCGTACCAGGATCTCCCGGCCCTCCCGGCCCTCCACCGAAGCGCCTCACTGGACCGAGACGTCTCACTGAACCGAGGCGTCAGGGTCCTCAGCTCAAGCCCGGCAGCGCGTGGAACGCAGGGCTACGCAGCGCGGGGGCGAAGGGCGGGAGAGCGGCACGGGACACGCAGGCGCAAAAGAGCGAGTGGAGGCACCTCCCCGCACGGCTCGGGTTAAGCGGGTGTGCGCAGGCGTGGGGGTCATGGGCGGGACGGTCCCGTGGCGTCTGCGCTCTCGCGCAGGCGGGACTAGGCGCGTGGTGGCCGCGGCGGCGCTGTTCGCCGGCTGTGACGTACTAATTGTGCGCCACCACCGCCGGTGGGCCTGGGGCTCGCGGGAGGGGAAGGAGGAGGAGGAGGAGGAGGGGGAGGTGGTGGAGGTGGAGGCTGAAGCAGAGCGAGAGGCGGCCGCGGCGGGGTGGCTCGGCGGGGCGGCGCGCGGCCCAGAAGCGTTGGAATCCTGAATTGAGACGGCTACGCCTGAAGACAGCAGGAGTGGCGGGGCAGCCGCCGTCGCCGGAGAGATGAGCCGGGAAGCCTGAGGCCGGAGACGCCCGCCCTCGGGCCTGTCCGCCCGGCTTCCCCGCTCCCGGTGAGGACGCCCCCTCCCCTCCCCCCAGCTCTGCCACGGCCTCTCCCATTCCTGGACCCCATTCCTACCTAACCGGGGCCCAGGAGGCCCTCGAAGGGGCTTTTTAAGGCCCTTGCGCGCCGAGCCGCCCGAGCCCGTAGGATCCTACCGGTGCTGGGACGCATTCTCGTCCCCGGGACGGAGCAGGAGAGGGGGCTGGGCCAACCTAGCTTGGCTCAGTTCAGTCCCAGCGCGCCTTGATTCGGCTGCCTAAGCGTCGCTTCGGTTCTGTTTCAGTTTCCTCTAAAATCATTCCCTTTCCATTAGATTTTACCACCTGAACCATAGCCCTGGTATGGTTCCTTCCTGAGACTACCTGAGCATGCCCACACACCCCACTCATTCCACGGTGATGGAGACCTCTCTTCCCACTCTAGATCACGGTTTTCCTGCGGAAATTGTGTTCTCCTCAGGTGTCTCTGTACCATGTCAGGATTCCCGTACTGAGCCTTCTCCGTTATTAGGCTCTCAACTAGGACATTCCTAGTGGTACTAAAATAGAGAAGTGGAACCTGAAAATACTAGGTTTGATCTGGGGATCTGAGAAATAAGAGCCTCGAGGCCTGCCGCTTAGCCATTCTTCCTTGCCTCTATCTGGGCAGGAGAGAGATGATGGCACAGACTCTGAAGGGCACCTTGTGGACCATATTAACTAGGAAGATATGAAGTTAGGAGTTTTGAAGTTTTTTTCTCTTTTCCTTAGTTTATTTGCATTTGATTGCAGAAGAGGTGTGCTGAGGAAGAGAGGCAGAATCCGGGGTGTAGGATGTTTGGATTCTGACGCTCTAACCTTTGTTTTACAGGTTACTGGAAGATGAAAGAGACTATACAAGGGACCGGGTCTTGGGGGCCTGAGCCTCCTGGACCCGGCATAGCCCCAGCTTATTCAAGTCCCAGGCGGGAGCGTCTTCGTTGGCCCCCACCCCCCAAACCCCGACTCAAATCAGGTGGAGGGTTTGGGCCAGATCCTGGGTCAGGGACCACAGTGCCAACCAGACGCCTTCCTGTCCCTCGGCCCTCTTTTGATGCCTCAGCTAGTGAAGAGGAGGAAGAAGAAGAGGACGACGAGGATGAAGATGAGGAAGAGGAAGTGGCAGCTTGGAGGCTGCCCCCCAGATGGGGTCAGCTGGGAGCCTCCCAGCGGCCTCGCCCTCCCCGCCCTGCTCATCGGAAAACGTGTTCACAGCGCCGTCGCAGAGCTATGAGAGCCTTCCGGATGCTGCTCTACTCAAAAAGCACCTCGCTGACATTCCACTGGAAGCTTTGGGGGCGCCACCGGGGCCGGCGGCGGAGCCTTGCACACCCCAAGAACCATCTTTCACCCCAGGAAGGGGGTGTGACACCACAGGTGCCATCCCCCTGCTGTCGTTTTGACTCCCCCCGGGGACCACCTCCCCCCCGGCTGGGTCTGCTAGGTGCTCTCATGGCTGAGGATGGGGTGAGAGGGTCTCCACCAGTGCCCTCTGGGCCCCCCATGGAGGAAGATGGATTAAGGTGGACTCCAAAGTCTCCTCTGGATCCTGACTCGGGTAAGGTGGGAATGGGGCAGAGGAGGGCATGGGGAGAGCTAAGATCCTGGGAGACCAGGAGCCTCTTGCTGTGGTGAGAACTGGGGTCTAAGGAAAGTAGGAGGGCAGAGAGAGGGAGGGTTCAGAACAGCAGTGAAATGTCTTCAGCCCCGTTTTGAGCAGGAACTAAGTCTGGGAAGAGAGTCAAGGCCGGGATACAGGATCCATAGTAGGTGTCCTGTGCATAGATGAGAAAGGGAGTCGTGGTTTAGTGAAGTCAGTCATGTCTGCTTGAAGTCCCACTTCATGTGGCCTCTCAGGATAAGTGCCCCTGCGTGTACATTTCTAGAGAGTGCCGTCCTTACAGTGGTGGGATGGGATCTCTCTGAGTAGTGGAGTACATCACCTGGACAGTTGTGTGTGACATTCTCACTCAGAGTATTTCTCTTTCGGAGAACCCCACTAAACAACTTCAGGCTTTCTTTTTATTTATTTATTTATCTATTTTTTTAAAATGTTTGTTTATTTATTTTGGTTGTGCCGGGTCTGAGTTGCGGCAGGCTTTCTATTTCTTTATTAATTATTTGAGTATTTATCGAGCCTTTGTTGTATGCCAGGTACTATGCTAGGTGCTAAGCATATAGTGGTGAGAAATATTTCTGAAATTTACATCTCTCTGAATTCCTAGTGTTTCTTGCTTTCCTCCTGTTTATGAGTACAGGCATACCTCATTTTATTGCGCTTCGCTTTATTGCAATGCAAAGACATTGCATTTTTACAAATTGAAGGTTTGCGGCAACATCGAATAGAGCAAGTTTGTCAGCGCCATTTTTCCAACAGTATTTGCTCAATTCATGCTTGTATCACGTTTTGATAATTCTCGCAATATTTCAAAGCCTCCACCCATGAAAAGATTACAACTCACTGAAGGCTCAGATGATAATTAGTATTTTTTAGCAGTGTTTTTTTTTAATATTTTTATTTTATTGGCATATAATTGATTTACAATGTTGTATTAGTTTCAGGGGTACAGCAAAGTGATTCAGTTATACATATACATATATTCATTCTTTTTTTAGATTCTTTTCTCATATAGGTTATCCCAGAATATTGAGTAGAGTTCCCTGTGCTGTATAGTATATCCATGTTGGTTATCTATATTATGTATAATAGTGTGTGTATGTTCATCCCAAGCTCCTGATTTATCCCTCCCCCCACACCGTTTCCCCTTTGGTAACCATAAAGTTTGTTTTTGATATCTGTAAGTCTGTTTCTGTTTTGTAAGTAAGTTCATTTTATCTTTTTTTTAAATTAGGTTCCACATATGAGTGATATAGATACTTGTCTTTCTCTGTCTGACCTACTTTACTTCGTATGATAATCTTTAGGTCCATCCATGTTGCTGCAAATGGCATTATTTCATTCTTTTTTAAGGCTGAGTAATATTCCATTGTGTATATATACCACATTTTCTTTACCCATTCCTCTGTTGATGGACGTTTAGGTCGCTTCCATGTCTTGGCTATTGTAAATAGTGCTGCTAGGAACATTGGGGTGCATGTATCTTTTTGGATTATGGTTTTCTCTGGTTATATGCCCAGGTGTGGGATTGCTGGGTCATATGGTAGTTCTGTTTTTAGTTAAGGAACCTCCATACTGTTCTTCATAGTGGTTGTACCAATTTACATTCCCACCAGCAGTGTAGGAGGGTTCCCTTTTCTCCATCTCCAGCATTTATTGTTTGTAGACTTTTTGATGGTGGACATTCTGACTGGTGTGAGGTGATACCTCATTGTCGTTTTGATTTTCATTTCTCTGATAGTGATGTTGAGCATCTTTTCATGTGTAACAAAGTATTTTTAAATTAAGGTACGTACTTTTTTTTTTTAGACATACTGCTGTTGCACACTTAATAGATTATAGTAAGCATAAGTTTTACATGCACCGGGAAACCAAAAAGCTTGTGTGACTCGCTTTATTACACTATTCGCTTTATTGTAGTGGTCTGGAAGTGAATCCGCAATATCTCTGAGCTATGCCTGTAGTAACTTTTCCTCTCTGTCTTTTATAACTTCTTGGACATAATTATCTCGTGCTTTAGGGTTTTCATCCTTTAGAGTTTCTATTGGTAGATTTTGTTCCAATTCATCCTTTTTGTGGTCTTATAATTTGTGTGCATCATTTAATCTTCCCATTGGCCTTTGATCTGAGCCAGTTTCTTGCCTCCATTCTGTTTCCCCTGCCCTGCAGGCCTCCTCTCTTGTACTCTGCCCAACGGCTTTGGGGGACCACCTGGGCCAGAAGGGGAGCGAAGTCTGGCACCCCCTGATGCCAGCATCCTCATCAGCAATGTATGCAGCATCGGGGACCATGTGGCCCAGGAGCTTTTTCAGGGCTCAGATTTGGGCACTGCAGAAGAGGCTGAGCGGCCTGGGGAGAAAGCTGGCCAGCACAGCCCCCTGCGGGAGGAGCATGTCACCTGTGTGCAGAGTAAGGAACCCTAGAGGATCTAGTCTCTTTCCCACAGCTGACTCCT